TCATAAAATCTTCCGTGAGAAGAACAACTATCCAAGACGTGAAGACGCACTGGCTTGGACAGATCAGTGCAGAGAGTGGCTCACTAAAAGGAAAAGTGAACAAATGAAATCTCTGTATCGTATAGCAAAACAAGCAAAACGTACGAAAAAAGACATAGTTAGTGCCTCATGTATCAAAAACGACAAAAATGAGATGGTTCTTGAACAAGATGAGATCAAGCTACAGTGGAAAGAATACTTCAACCGTCTGTTAAATGAAACAAATCCCATCAATGTCAACTTTGACGCTCCACTCATTGAAGGTCCTATTACAGACATCACTGTAGAGAAGCTTACAGAAGCTCTGAAGGCTATGAAGGATGGAAAAGCAGCAGGGCCCTCGGGACTCAAAAATGACATTATCAAAGCATCTGGTACTGCAGGTATCCAAACGTTATTACAACTTTGCCGTGAAGTCTGGAGAAACTGCTCAATGCCGACTGAATGGAACTATAGCATGACAGCTCCGCTATACAAAGGCAAAGATGATCCATTAAACTGTACATCATATCGGGGTATACGTCTGTTAGAACACTCCCTGAAAATTGTCGAAAAAATCATTGAGAGAAGATTAACGTCGTGCGTCACAATCGGAAATTATCAATTTGGTTTCCTAGCGAGAAAATCAACAATTGATGCAATTCACATCCTTCGGCAACTGCAAGAGAAGTACCTCGCAAAGCATCAACAACTATCACACATTTTTGTAAACCTTGAAAAAGCATTTGATCGAGTTCCCCGTGAAGAAATCAGGTGGAGTCTACGTCGACAACTCATTCCAGAATATCTTGTTTGACTTGTGATGGAAATGTATACAAATACTAAGACTCTCGTCATCACAACGATTGGAAACATAGATGCATTTGACATCGGCGTTGGAGTTCACCAAGGCTCGATTCTCAGTCCACTGTTATTTATAACTGTGATGGAAGAAATCACAAAACTGATACGCACTGGTTACATTTAGAATCTAATATATGCTGATGATATCGTTTTAACAGCCACGTCTGAGCAGAATGCAGCACAGATGTTTGAAAATTGAAACACCAGACTCGCCGATAATGGATTCAAAATCAACATCAGCAAAACCAAAGCAATGAACACTGGTGAACCCATTCAATCCACAGCTACTGGACGATGGCCCTGTTCAGTTTGTAAAGCTTGTGAAGATAACAATTCAATCAAGTGTCAGCAGTGTAAGCAGTGGTGTCACAAACGTTGTTCGACAATAATTGGTAATTTATCTAAAGTGTACACTTTTGTTTGTCCTGCTTGCACCAATCCTCAACAACAAATTTGAAATAGCAATGTTTTTGAAGCCATTATGGTAGAGAAAGTCACATCGTTTCAATATCTAGGAAATGTTCTGGATTGTACTGGAACAGCTGAAGCTGCCGTTCGAGAACGCATACGCGCAGCCTGGAATAGATGGAATCTCCTTGCCTCTATATTGATGCGGCGTGACATCCCACTACCACTACGATCAAGACTATAAATCTGTGATACGTCTGGTCTTGTTATATGGTGCAGAAACATGGCCAATGACAACCAAACTGGAACAACAAATTCAACGAACCAACATGAAACGAATTAGTTTGAAAGACTACGTAAAATCTACCGAAATCCTGCGTCGTGCTGGTTTAGATGATGCGGTGGTTTGGTCATGTCAAATGAAGTGGAAACAGTGCCATAACTTCTCTTGCAGATGTTGAAGTACCTGGCACACGTCCCAAAGGCCGTCCAAAGAAGTCCTGGTCGCAAACAATCGAGCAAGACATGAAAGCTCTAAATTTAAATGAAATGGATACAACTGATCGTCTAATTTGGCGCAAAAAATTGATGGCAAAGAAAACAACGTCCTACCTCGGGAAACTGGGTCTCTGGACGCTAAACGAAGATTGATTGATTGCAGCATGAATTCGGAAAATAAGTTTATTTTAAATTTTAATAAACTAAACGTTCTCCTAAAAAATTTTAGTGAAAATAATCGAAAAAACGAACTACAAACATATTAACGCCAAACATTCGGTAGAATTTATAGAATATTGTAAAAATATATTTAAACGTATATATTATACGTTTATATAATGATAAAGTCCTTTTTTTAATTCTATTTTTAATATAATCTTTTTTGATTATATTAAAATTATTTTTATTTTAATAATTTTAATTTTATTTTTTAAAATTAAATTAATTTAATTTTAATAAAAATCCAGTCACATTATATCACTCCTCAAGAATACTCTCGTTATTTTTCTCAACATCTGCATTTTTGTTATCTTTTTAGGTTTTCAGCAGTCAAAGCTCAGTTTCGCATTCATATAACAGACAACTTATTACACATGCTTTATATATCCTACACTTTAGACCCAATGGTATACCCCTACAACACCGCACTAAAGTCATTTTTCTGAACTTTTTCATCCTACTTTTTTTTTATTTTCGACCCCTCTATCCGATCCATCCTCCTCGTTTCATCTATCATAGATAAAAAAAGAACTCCACTCTTTCAAACCCCTAAATTTCCCAGGTGCTCAGTATCACTATTTATCTTAAGAGTATCTCTCAACTCACATTGCCAGCAAATCAATTCCTTGCTCTTGTTTATATCTCCTTTCAAACCACTGCATTGTTTGTGTGTCCATTTATCACATTTTACCCATAGTATTGAATATCTTTCAACCGTTTTACCACACACCGCCCAGGGAAATTTAACACGTTCAAAAGTATCTGGATCCCATTTGCTCCACATAATTTTGGTCATACCAACATTTACCTTTAAACCTATTTTCTACACTGAAAGCTTTTCTTTCAGTTTTTCCTCACTCTCCGCCATAACAAACGTGTCCCATGGCAACCGACATCTGATATCCCTATTAATCTTTTCCATTACTGTAATAAAAAGTAGGAGGGCTTAGCGCTGAGCCCTGATGTAAACCTACCTGAACATCAATCTACTTACCAACACAATCGTTAATACTTACCACCGTCCAGGCTCTTTCTTACATACACATCACTGTGTCCACCAGCCATTCTTATACCCCACTTTTCTTAAGTACCCACCTAACCACTTTTCTCGGTGCTTTATCATAAGCTTTTTCTAGATCTACAAAAGAAGCCTTATAAAAAATTTTCTTTTTGACTGAATTTTTCTTGTATTTGTTTAACACTAAAAATTGCATCAATAGTAATCTTCCCTCGACAAAAACCAAACTGGATTTCGTCAATATTAACTTGGTTCAAAATTTTTCGCTCCAAAATTCTTTCCATCACCTTCATAGTATGTTACAATAGATTGATTACTCTATACGATCCACAGTGTGAAGGGTTTCCTTTACCTTTGTATATTGGAATGATTATATTTTTCTCCCAATCTTTTGGGATGGTTTTCCCCTAATTACTGTATAGAACAAATCAGTCGACATCTCAAATCCTCAATCACCTGTTACCTTCAACTTTTCTGTTACCACTTTAGAGTTACTCGCTGTCTTACCCGTTATCATTTTTCTTAGCACCCACTTACGCTGCTTAACCCATTCCTCCTTATCAAACGTTCTGATTTTTCTGAAGCACCTGTGGCTTTCACTTTTGCCAAAATGAAATCTACTGTACCCTTGACCTCCCCAGGTTCATACTTTATTAAATGGCATGGTTTCTTCTTGAACTAAGTGTTCATGTTCATCTTTGTTTCTTTCTCCATACCCATTTCCATCATGCATTTGTTCATAACCATTACATTCTTTTCCAACATGACCATTTAAGTCTCACATATACACAATAAAAATTATCATTCACACAACTAGACCAGTGAATCTGAATACGCCAAAAATGACTTCTGGAACACTCTCAGATGCCGTCAGGAAAACACCATCATCAGAGATACCATTGCAATGTAGCGACCTCAACGGCCAATAGAGATAAAGCAAATGGGTTCCACGGTGTCCATGGAGGCTTTGGCTGCGAGTCTCAAAGCGAAGACAATGTACCGACTCTGGAATTTGCTGAAAGCCATGAACTCTTCCTGTTGAACACTTACTTCAAGAAGAGGGCAGAACGTTTGATCACATATAAAAGCGGGATGTCATGCACACAAATTGACTTTATTGTCGTCAGACAACAACAGAGAACTAGTTAGAAATACAAAAGTCATTCCAGGCAAAGCATGCATCCCTCAACATCGATTGCAGGTGGCTGATATGATCATGGAACGATCACACCCTGTGACTGATCGAATGCCTACTAGAATAAAGACATAGAAACTGAAAAACCCCATGTTCAAAGAGAAATTCGAGGAGCTGGATCGTCTGGAGAAGGTAGACATAACCTGGAAATCTTTTCAGGACACCCTAGTGAACGCTGCAACGGCTGTATGTGGAAAATCTGGACAAAAAGGCCAGCACAACCGCGAAACTTGGTGGTGGAACGAGACGGTGCAAAATGCTATTGCCGGTAAGAAAGCAGCTTTCGAACAATTGCAGAAGACTAAGATTGATAAAGATCGAAAGATCAAAGAACACAGAAGCGAAATGTCAGGTTGTGATAGCTTGTGCAAATTAATGCAAGGTATGGCTGTCTGGAAGTTTTTTATTTTTTCAGTTTTCAGGTTTTAATACTTTAATATTTATAAATAAATTTTAATCGGTTCTTCATTAATATTGAATAGAAATAGTCACTTTTTCAATATCGTTAAGCAATTGTATGAGTTTTTTTTTCAAGTTCTACGCATAACAAAAGATTTTTTCAAGTGGTTTAAATGTGTGAAATGAGTGGAATAAGTCTGTAATTGTCAAGTTTCATCTGACAGGTCGGAGCGGATCTCATGAAGTTTGTGAAATTCATTGAGACGCGCTGTTGAACAACGCTTTAAAATCTAATTGATTAATTGACTGACTGACTGGTGATTGATTGATTGACTAACTGATTGACAATTAATTTACTAAAAATTAATATTAAAGTCTAACTTTCAAGTCGTTGGATCATTTCTTTATTTTTGCTTGCTATGTCAACATTGGTTAAAACGGCCTCTAATGGAATATAAAGTACTGTTTTATTTTCACTTTTCCATTTAGTGTCATTTAGATGAGCCATAAAACGTTGCAATTTCAAGGTGAATTCATTTTTAATACTATCTGGCCAGATGGAATTTTGATAAAATGATGGAATAAAAACTCCGGACATGAATCGAAGTAAAGAATCCAAATGTTTAGCATTAGATAATCCAAAAATAACATCCTGAAAACAAAAAAATTGTTTTTTTATAGGTACGTATATGTGATTTAATATATTTTATTTATATTTTATTTACAAGTATTTATTTACCAAAAGTATTCCGCCAAACAAGTTGGGTTATATAACACATAAGAAAAAAGTCGCCTGAGCCCACCAATAAAAGTACTTTTTTTGAAATTATTATCAAAAGTTTGTATTATTGCAAATAGTCCATTTTCAATTTTTTGACTTGAAAATTTTTTAATATCAAACAATTAGTCAAACCAACAAAGAAATCAAACGATTTTTGGATGCCGACATCATTAAACTCCATATAAACTTTATAACAAAAACGAAAATCAACAGATTAACAAAAGGTAAACACAATAAAGTCAAAAACTACAAAATGTGATAGAGTTATATAATTGCCCAAAATTCATTCAAATGTTTAATAAAAATAATTAGGTTATTTTGAGCAAGTGATGATGGAGACGAAGATGAAGAAAATATTTTGAAAATTTGATCAACCAAAATGATCCAGTAGCAAAATAAGCATGTAGAAATAATTAAAAATCAACTGGTAGATATTGTATAATAAACATGATGACACATCAGTTAAAGAAAAACAAAACGGACAATATTGTTATAAACGCTGCAATGATCAAATTGCGCTATATTATTTGTTACCTTTGCTATATTTGTAATCTTTGGATTGTAAAGTGTCGCAAAAAGAAGCCTATTTAAAATTCTACGGAGACACAGGTTTTCAGCGAGGTTTGAAGCGAAGTCGTAAATGTGATTTATGTAGTTACTTGGATTAGTATAGTGTTTCTATTATTGTTGACATTCAAATAAACGTTCAACAAAGTTTGCGTTTGCGTTCATCTATCCGTAATCTTGAACCTACGAACAGAGGCGCCAACTTGTCCAAGATATTGGGGAGCCCGGGCCAGGGCCACCAAATGATGCATTATGCCATATGATTATACCGTTTCATTATAGTTATATATACAAATATATATATATATATATATATATATATATACAAATGTCATTAAAAATGGTTGCCCAGCGTGCGTTTATAATCTTTTTTATTAAAACCTCAACACTTCTGAGTTTGTTGAATTCATATTTATTAAGAAGAAAATTATTATTGAGCTTGGCTGACAGTACTGTTTCGGAGTTAACCATCGTCGGAGCCTATTAGATCAAAAACACATAGTCAGAAATGCAAAATTTGAAATAAAATATTAAGTGAAATTTAAGTAAATGAGCAGTTGAATTAATAATTAAATATTAATTAAGTTAAAATATGAGAGTAACCTTCGAATATTAATGACATTATATATATATATATATATAAGGAAATATAAATGAAATTACCAAGATAATAAAATTACGATAACTGAGAAACGAAATGAAATTATAAAATTGGAAAATAATGTAATTTAAAATTGGAAAATAATATAGTGAAGTTAGTATTAAAAGCAGGTGGACGTATGTGAATGCAAAATATGATGTATTATTAATTTGAAAAATTGAAAAAACGAACTACAAACATATTAACGCCAAACATTCGGTAGAATTTATAGAATATTGTAAAAAAATATATATATATAATTTTTATATATTGTAAAGAATATTATAAAAACATATATATATATATATATATATATATATATATATATATATATATATATATATATATATATGTCATATTCCAGACATCACCGTAGAGGAGCTTATAGAAGCACTGAAAGCTATGAAAGATGGAAGGCAGCAGAGCCCTCTGAACTCAAAAATGACACTATCAAAGCATCTGGTACTTCAGGTATCCAAACGTTACTACAATTTTTAACGTAAAGTGTGGAGAAATTGCTCACTGCCGACTGAATAGAACTATAGCATGACAGCTCCGCTATACAAAGACAAAGGTGATCTATTGAACTGTTCATCATATCGGGGTATACGACTATTAGAACACTCCCTGAAAATTGACGAGAAAATCATTGAGAGAAGATTAACGTCGTGCATCACAATCGGAAATTATCAATTTATGCAATTCACATCCTTCGGCAACTGCAAGAGAAGTACCTCGAAAAGCATCAACAACTATCACACATTTTTGTAGACCTTGAAAAAGCATTTGATCGAGTTCCCCGTGAAGGAATGAGGTGGAGTCTACGTCGACAACTCATTCCAAAAAATCTTGTTCGACTTGTGATGGAAATGTATACGAATACAATGACAACCAAATTGGATCAACAACTTCAACGAACCGACATGAAAATGCTCCGATGGATGCAACGAATTAGTCTGAAAGACCACATCAAATCTACCGAAATCCTGCGTCGTGCTGATTTAGATGATATAAAGGACGAATGTCGGCAAAACCGTCTGCGGTGGTTTGGTCATGTCAAACGAAGTGTAAACAGTGCCATAATTTCTCTTGCAGATGTTGAAGTACTTAGCACACGTCCCAAAGGCAGTCCAAAGAAGTCCTGGTCGCAAAAAATCAAGCAAGACATGGAAACTCTAAATTTAAATGAAATGGATACAGTTGATCCTTTAATTTGGCGCAAAAAGTTGATAGCAAAAAAAACAACGTCCTACCTCGGTGAACTGGGTCTCTGGACGCTAAACGAAGATTGATTAATTGATTGATTGACCAACATTACCACAATAACCACCATACTGTAGCAGCAACGAAGACGTTGACAATTGTGGTGGAAGCGTTTGCGAAACAAAAATTCTACACGTGTTAATAGAACTTTAAATCTATTAATGAAATCAACCGTTAAGCTATCAAGAATATAATTATGAATGTTTGCAATCAAATCTTATTTCATTACATTGTGTAGATGTAGACAAAATTTAATTAATTTTCAAATAAATTTAACCTGGTTGAAACTTTCAACTTTGATACTTGCTACACCTTCTTTTTTAAAAAAATAAAATATTTCTTTCTGTGAATCAAAAGGTATATGATGTGAAGCGATTATTTCACTATTCTCTGTATTAACAACAAAAGTTAGCATTTTGATATCAGAAAAGTTTACAAAAGATTCCATAAGGCTCGTGTTTTTTTTCGATTTCAGAGTTTGTGCAAGCTCCTTTGTGTAGTTCGTCAGCATTACTCTTTTAGCTATCATGTCAATCTAAAATTTATAAAACTAATGATAATGGCTACGTTCTATTATAAAAAAAAACAAATATCAATAACCAAGGATTGTGCGTTAATATCATAATCCATTACTTCACATCAGCAATGTTTCCACAATATTTTTCTGCAATATCGTTTTAAATAGCATTAAAGGTATTTACATATTTTTGATATTCAAAATAAAAAATTCTTACGTTATACAATATATAAATAAAACCTTTTCTAGGCCGGTTTTTGGATTTGAGGCGGATTTTTGTAACCCAATTTTGAATGTATTTATATTGATGTATATATCTATAGGTTCATATTTGCATGCGTGAATACAAATATGCATTAAAATATAAAATATAAATATATTAATATATAATATATAAAAGTATATCAAATATAGATTAATCTGAGCAATAATCTATGGATGAAGTATTATATATGTCAATCAATCTTCGTTTAGCTTCCAGAGACCCAGTTTCCCGAGGTAGGACGTTGTTTTCTTTGCCATAAAATTTTTGCGCCAAATTAGACGATCAGTTGTATCCATTTCATTTAAATTTAGAACCTTCATGTCTTGCTCGATTTTTTGCGACCAGAACTTCTTTGGACGGCCTTTGGGACGTGTGCCAGGTACTTCAACATCTGCAAGAGAAGTTATGGCACTGTTTCCACTTCGTTTGACATGACCAAACCATCGCAGACGGTGTTGCTGGCATTCGTCCTTTATATCATCTAAACCAGCACAACACAGGATTTCGGTAGATTTGATGTGGTATGTCCTTCAGATTAATTTGTTGCATCCATCGGAGCATTTTCATATCGGTTTGTTGAAGTTGTTTTTCCAGTTTGGTTGTCATTGGCCATGTTTCTGCACCATATAACAAGACCGGACGTAACACAGATTTAAAAAGTCTTGATCGTAGTGATAGTGGAATGTCACGCCGCATCAATATAGAGGCAAGGAGATGCCATTTATTCCAGGCTGCAGATATGCGTGCTCGAACGGCAGCTTCAGCTGTTCCAGTACAATCTAGAACATCCCCTAGATATTAAAACGATATGACTTTCTCTACCTTGATGGCTTCAAAAACATTGCTATTTCGAATTTGTTGTTGAGGATTGATGCAAGCAGAACAAACAAAAATGAACACTTCAGATAAAGTTCCAATTATTTTTGAACAACGTTTGTGACACCACTGTAACTTTGACATTTTTAAATAGCCTTCGGTGTTGTTGCTTGACAGCGAAGATATCAATTTGCGTGGCTGATGGTCCACTTTTGTATGTTATGAGATGTTTCAACCTCTTTCTAAAATATGTGTTCAGTAAATAAAACCCGAGACCTTCAGCAAACTCAAGGATGCGTTTGCCATCTTTATTCCGATCTTTTCTCCAACGTGGCCATTGAGATCGCCTCCAATCAGGATTGTTTCAGATTTTGGTATTGTTGAGATGGTGTCAAAGAACGCAACCCAGAAGTCATTTTTCATCTCTTCTGATTCGCCCGTCTGTGGTGCGTATGCAGAAAAAATAATCATTGTTTGCTTTTCTAGTCAAAGCTTGATCCACATGAGACGTAAATTAATCCTTTTAATATCCAGTACTTCATGGGCTAGGGGTTCTCTGACAAAAATTTCAACACCATTTTTGGTCGTCATTTGACCATTCCAGAATAGTTTATATTTCTTTTTGTCTGAGTTGACATGACAGAAAGGCAGCAGATGTCAATGCTTCTTCGCTCGAGCATTTCCGCGATTTCCATGCTGCGGCCAGTCAGTGATCCAACATTGAGCGTTCCAAGTCCAAGTACCATAGAGGGGCCATTCTAAATTTTTCTGCAACATCCATCCGCTATTGCATACTTTTCAGGGATTCTTGGCACCCCTTGACCACTTAAGGCTTGCTGGAGACTAGGGGCCGCTGTTTATCATTGCGATGACATTGGAATAATTTAGGGAAAAGTTTTTACATCCGGACACCCATCCTGACGACAACCACCAGTTATAAGCGGTGAGCCTAGCCTTTTGCCCAAAAGCACGCAAGGCAGCGTGGATGCAGTTTTATGTCATGCCCAGAACATGTTTAATAGACTTTAAATCTTTTTTATTAGTTTGTCAACTTGAAACCTTAAATAAACACAAAAACACACAAACAAACATACACACCACACACACACACACACATAACACACACACACATATGTATAACCTTAAATAGAAACAAACAAGTCATAGAGATCTAAAACAGAATGTATTATATATGTATATATGCAAATTTATTTGAGGCGTAAAGAATTACGATTGTATCGCTTGGACCATCTGATAGTAACTTTAAAATTACCAGACTCCAAGCACTGTCATTGATAAGTTAGTTTTTCAATATGTGCTTACATATGTGGTGCTTACATAATAGTGTTTTCATTATGTAGGTATCATTTAATGTTTGTTTGCTTTTATGTGTTTTTGAAAACTCGTAAAAATAAGTTTCGGGTCTAGCCGAAACTTCGGCCGATTTTTCACCGAAACCAAACCTCCCACACAAAAAAAACAAAATCATTTGGCCGAAACCGGACCTTCGGTGATTTCTAAGATATATTTATATATATATTTAATCAATATTCTATAAATTCTACCGAATGTTTGGCGTTAATATGTTTGTAGTTCGTTTTTTCAATTTTTCTCACTAAAGTTTTTTGATGAACGTTT